TGATAATGATGATGATGATAATGATGAAAATGGTGAGGATGATAGTGATGATTATGTAATATATGATAATCAGGTGGTGGTGATACTGTTATGATGATTATGATGTATTGTAATGATGTATAATGACAATAGTGATGATGAACTGACGATGATGATGAAGAAAGCATAATGGTAGTGGATTACATTAGTCCCTGTCGCTACACAAATACATTAATGTAACAAGATCTAATGTAATAAATAATAATTAATATTTAACACAGGAGCTCTATGCCATTCAAGAGATCCAGGCAGAGAGGAACTTATTCAAACTCATTGTAGGGTACGTAAGACTGATGCACTACAGATATTTCTGGATATAAGGGATTAGTCAATTTCCAGTACTGATTGCAAGGTTTCTTTTCAGGTCCTTATGCCCTTCAATATATGGACATGAGGTATTTATGCTTTAAATGTCATAGAATGTAAAATGTATCATTTATTTTGTCAATTGCTGAGGCAGTGATTGCACAGTCTCTCAAACCAGCGGTTCATGTTTAAGCTTTTGACTTCAAATTGAAATCTAGTAAATATAATGATTTTAAGGAGGGAGGAAAACCAGAGAACTCCGCGACCCTTGAAGAGCAATGCACACCATCCCTGCTTCCCTTAAGCATCATTGGTCCATACTAATGGAACTTACAACTGGAAATTTCTTAAATGAACATATAATCAATAATGAAAATATAATGTCTGGTTCCCAGTTTCAAGATGTTTTTCAAACATTTACAGCATCCTGTTACCACTATTTGATGCCTATTGATCATTAATTCAGTCTGGTCCATTGAGGTTTTCAGTAAAAAGGTAACATTTGGTATTCTTTATTTTAGTTGGTAAAAGCAGGATTGATAATGGGGTTATTTGGAGGAACACAGCGGTTCCTCAATGACAAGGTAAGACCTTTCATGGATTAACTTGAAAGACAACAAAAAGATGGCTCCGAGTCAAGGCTGGACTTGATAAAATACCATACAGTAAATGTATGAAAACCTCTAGTCCAACCTCGGCTTGGAACTATTGTTTTATTGTGTTTATAGTATATTTTATTTCTTGATATTTGATCAAGGACAGGTCTTATTTCATTTTTTTTTGGGGGGGGGGGGTATTTTTTAGAGGAGGGTAATGATGTTTTAGCCATGCCCAAGAGGAGGGTCAGGAAAATTCATTCCTATTTCTAGGGAGGGTTACATTATTTTCGGTGCTCCATTTCAAATCTCAACCCCCTTCCCTCCCCCCTCTGCTAATTTCTGACAAGTCCCTAACTTATTAATTAATTTATCTATATTTAATAATTAATTATATTTCCAGAATCGCATACCTGTCAGGGGAAACCCCCACATTCTAGTGGTTGGTGACCCAGGATTAGGGAAAAGCCAGGTATGAATAGTAGTATCATGGTATTAAATACCAGTAATTTAAGGTTAAGTTGATTCATGCCGTAAAGTATAATCAGTGGTTGCGTTCCTGAATTGTGATTCCTGTTTTGTTAGATGTTGCAAGCAGTTTCTAATGTCGCGCCAAGGGGTGTGTATGTCTGTGGTAATACTACATCCACCTCTGGATTAACAGTAAGTAAACCCTATATTTATCATTTGTTAACGTACAATCATATATTAGATAAATACAATCATATAGATAACACAGCCTTTGAATGATTACTACATAGGTTACATTGACTAAAGATGGTTCTTCTGGAGACTATGCTCTAGAGGCAGGTGCTTTGGTGCTGGGGGACCAAGGTGTGTAGATTGAACTTTATCAGCTGCATTTATACTATAGATTAGAAGAGAATTGAATGATGATGATAATGGTTGTGGTGGTGGTGGTGGTCGAGTGATGATGATGTTAATGATGATGATTGTGTTGATGATGATGATAATGGTGGTGGTGGTGGTGGTGGTGGTTGAGTGATGATGATGATGATGGTGATGATGCGGATGATGATAATGATAATTGTGTTGATGATGATGATAATGGTGGTGGTGGTGGTGGTGGAGTGATGATGATGATGCTAATGATGATGATTGTGTTGATGATGATGATGATGGTGTTGATGATGATGATGATTGTATTGATGATGATGATGATGATGACGGTTATGTTGTAATGATGGTGGTAATGATGATGAATGATAGTGGTGTTAATGATAAGTGATGTTGATGGTGGTGGTGGATTGATGATATCATTATGGTGTTGTTGATGATAATGATGGTGATGATGATGATCGTCTTTGCAGTGATGACAATAAAATGATAGTGTTGGTGGTAGTGGCAGTGGTGTGATGGTGATGACGATGATGGTCATAATAAATTATGGTCAGTTATAATGTCGACCATGGTGTTAATCATACTGATGATGATATATTTTTGCAGGGTGTTGTTGCATTGATGAGTTTGATAAGATGGGCAACCAGCATCAGGCATTACTTGAAGCCATGGTAACGACCTCACAATACCTATCATCTCTTTTCCTTGTGTGTTGTGCTTTATCGACTGAACATTTGTTCTTTCCCAACCAAGGAACAGCAGAGCATCAGTATAGCCAAGGCTGGTATAGTCTGCAGGTGAATCAAAACRAAAACTTATATTTTACAACCATCTGCATAACTACCACTACGTTCACTACTTACACACAACTCAACTTACATGTTGATGTTTACGGAGGGAAGTAAGGGAGAGAAGAACACATAAAACAAACTCAACTCGCACATTGATTGTTATGGAGGGAAGGAATCAAATAGAGAACCCAGAGAAAAGCTCTCATGGCAAGGGAGAGAACAACACATCAAACAAACTCATGTGGCTCAGCCAGAAATCAAACCCATATCCTCAGGAAACCAGGGTAAAATTATGTCACTTGTTCATCTCAAACCCACAACCCCAGGCATGAACTATGCAGTGAAGAGAGACAGCATAGTAGCTGAATATGGCTTGTAGTGTAGAACTGACCTTGCATTACCATGTTAGTCTTCAGTGTTTAATATTCTATTGGTTGTTATATTTCAGTCTACCTGCCCGTACCTCCATTATAGCAGCTGCTAACCCTGTTGGTGGTCACTACAACAAGGCAAAGACAGTCTCAGAGAACTTAAAGTAAGAATGCAGTCTGTTTCTAGGTCTAACTCCTCTGTTTCTAGAATTTATTCTCTTAGTCCTCTGAATTAATTCCTTCCTCCCTAAAACCCTTCACTCAAACTGGATTCATTGGAAGATGAGTTACTGATCTTGCCTACTTTGTCTTTCAGGATGGGTAGTGCTCTCTTATCCAGATTTGATCTGGTAAGTGTTGATCAYTCTACCCTGGTATTACTAGGTACCCCTTCTAGACCCCCTAGGCTCAAGAACACCAGTTAGACAAGAGATTCTACCAAACCATATCAGTTATTTTAGATAAGAACAATATGAAGYTTTGCTTTCACAATGCCCTTACTACCATCTTGTACACGAAGGAATTTTAGATCCAAAGTTGATTATTTTTTTCCTCATTTCTTCCAGGCTTTCATTCTCTTGGACAAGCCCGATGAGGTTCGTACCCTTTAAAAGTTAGTCCTCACCCATGTGGTCATTCTATGGATAATGTATGGATTTATTTGTCATGTTTAATRAAAGCCACTAAAGTGTTATGATGTGTTTGTGTTGCAGGAAATGGATTGCATGTTGACGGAACATGTCATGGCGCTACATACTGGAAAGAAAAGGTRTGCTCAATTTCATGAATATTTTATAATATTTAATTCAATGTCACTCTACGTTTTCAGAGCTCAAAAGCTCAAAGATGTCATTAATGTCCTAATCCACTGTTTTCCAAATTATTCTCACCGGTCATTCCCTTGAATATTATTTCTTTGTTCCCCAGTTATGTATGGGGGGGGGGGGAATGAGAATACAACTCAATGAACTATATTCTCAAATATATTTAATGTAGTCTGAAATGAGAAAACTTTATAGACATTGGAATGAGTCTCTTGAATGTGAACATTCCAAATCCCTCCCTCCCTCTCTCCTCTTCTCTCCTCTTCTCTCCTCTTGCCTTTCTCCTCTTCCCTCTTTCCTCTTCCCTCTTCCCTCTCTCCTTTCCCCTCTACCCTCTCCCTTCTCTCCTTTCCCCTCTACCCTCTCCCCTCTCTCCTCTTCCCTCTCCCCCTCCACCCTCCACATGCATACACACTGCCCCACTACTCTACCCCACCCAATCCCTGACACTCCCTGGGACATTCTTTTTAATCTCTTAACTGGACTGCCC